TCACAGCCTCTGGGATGGACGAGGTAAGAAAGACAGTTTTGATGAAGCCTTTAAGACATTTTAATCAGGTTTAAGTTTAATAATGACTTTTATTTTCTTTAGATGGCAGTGGAGTTCCTCGATGAGATCAATGTGCCTTTCTTCAAAGTAGGCTCTGGAGACACCAACAACTTCCCCTATCTGAAGACGACTGCCGAGAAAGGTGAGACTGGACCTTTATATCTGGGGAAATTAATACATGTGAGATGTATTTAATGGTGAATAAAAAAAACCTGTGCATTTAATAACTATTACATGTAAGCCAGATCTAAAAAGATTAGATAAACTGAACATTTGTCCAAATGCCTATCTTTGTAGAAATTAGTTAAAACTGGGATTAAAGTGAAACAAGTTTGAGTTCTGAACTACAGGGATTCCTGAAGGCATTTAGCCTTCTGCCCATGTTAGCTAAGATTTTTACCAAGCTTATTTTGTCTGTGTCAGGACGGCCCATGTTAGTGTCCAGTGGGATGCAGAGCATGGAGACGATGCGTCGGGTCTACCAAACAGTGAAGGAGCACAACCCTAACTTTGCCATCCTGCAGTGCACCAGCGCCTACCCTCTGGAGGCTGAAGATGTCAACCTCAGAGTTCTAGCGGTGAGAAGAATTGATTTTTACTATTAATAGTATTACTTTTATGAAACGTTTGGCACAAAACAACACATTATTAAATATATTTAAATCAGATCAGATTATATTACTGCATTAAAGGTCCCATGTCATGGCCATGGCCGTTGCATGTCACATCTCCACATAACTGCTCATGTCACTGTCACTAGTATTTATTTGTACATACTAGGGCTGTACCCGAATATCCGAATATTCGTTCGTTGGAGTACTATTCAGGGTTTCAATTTCATTTTTCGTTTTGTTTGTTTTTTCGTTTTATCCCCGTTTTCTTTTCAAATTGAATTTATTGAAAAATCCAATATCAACGTAAGCGCTTGTGCCTCTTCGGGGGGTGCAAACACTTAACCATAAACGTTAATTTTTACTTTCTCCGTCTTTATATGTAGATATAACTTTTCTCCGTTAATCTCCGTCATGTTGTTTCCAAAGCAACAACTACTTCCTGTCAACTGCGCTAACTCTCCCTCAAAATAAAAGCATGTCCATAAATAGGAAGCCAAGCCAAATGACACAAGATATATACAACTGCAACGAAAGTAACAAACACAATGCAATGTCTTTTTCAAATTCAAAGAACACAAATTGGGTTGAATACATGAACAAATAACTATAACACAACAATACTGTCGAATAACAAAATGAATGCCGTGAATAAAACCGAAATAAACGTGTTGAAGCGGTTCGCTGCTGATTACTACGCACTCCCCTCCGCCCGCGCGGGCCGAATAACCGAATATTCGCTGCTGATTACCACTGAATATCCGGAGACAGCCCTAGTGTCATCCATCACTTTTTATCTCCGGCAGTTAGGACACAACCACTAAAGGCTTTTAAAAGACTGTTCCTTCCTGTTCTGCATACAAATAGAGTTTATTTTATTTGTATAAGTCTCAATGGCTCACTCTTTGTCCTTTTGACAGATGGATTTCAAATAAGTAAAAATCTCCCCAAAAAAAAACTTCAACAGAAGAGAATAGCAGAAACCTCGGGTAGATCAACTGAAAAAGTATTCGTTTGCCCAGGACGGACCAACGCGCAATATATGTTGTGCATATAGACAATTAGAATAACCAAAAATATATACACTTCCTATGTTAACCTATTATAAAACAATTGGATCTGGGAGGACGTCAGCATCTTACCTTAGTTGTTGAAACACGACCCCTCCATCTTCAAACCTGGTTTAGGGCAGGATACACAAGCACAAGAATCCAAACTGAACCACTTAAATCACACAGATAAAAGGATAGCATAAAACTGAGAAAGAGAGTGCCTGAGGCTTTTAATGTTCTGTAACAGATCGAAGAAACATATGGATTTTAAGAGATGTTATCTTTGTAGGTTCAACATAAACAGCTGCGTCTCTCTTATTCATGCTTTCTGGACTTTTTCTATAGACTTTCTTATTCAGATGGCTAGAACCATGGGGAATATTATTAATCACTCGGTGTAATATAAATATGAATCTCTACAAACATTATTAAATAAACCTCCTGTTTTGGGCTGTTGCACTGTAAAAACTGTTGCTTTGGTAAAATGAAAAGAAATTGTGTCAATTGATTCCAAGCAATTTTAAGATTTTAGTGAACTTTTGCATTTTCTGAGTTGGTGAAACATACTTTTTTAGTTTTCCTCTACTCAAGAACGTGTTACTTTGCTAAAACTTAAAAAAAAATGGTCAAGCGATTCCAAGCTATTATAGGAGTTGGGTAAACTCACTGATGTGATTTTTTCTGCATGTGAAAAGTTGAGTTTAGCCTACAATTAAAAGCCAAGATATTAAGTGTAACCAATGCAAATAACAATCTGCTAAGAACCACATTAGACACGAATGAATTAAAACTGCGGTCACAGTCGTGCGGGCAGTGATGAGCGGGCCCTCGCGTCTATGCGCCTGTCGGGGTGGGTCGCTGGTCGACTCGGCGTCAAGTCGACGCACGCGAGTCCTCCGAAATGAGCCGTTTGTCATTTCTATAATTTTCGCATCCTCGACCGCTCGCTCCTCCGGCAGCGACCCAGAAACGGATGTCGGCGCGTCTCGAAGAAAAACTAATTTAGCTAAAGGCTCATCGAGGATTGATTATCGAGGAGGCTGTCTGGAGGAGCCGTAACCGAGGGTACAAAGATGGAGAGGAGAGAGGAGAGAGGAGTCTCTCTGGAGGAGCTATAACCAAGGGTACACTGATATATTCTCCGGAGTCGATTTTAGCCAACAGTGATGTTTAAAAGAGGCGTGACGCATGGCTGGACTTATGTCAACGAAGCACAGCTCTGCAAACTCTTCCCGTTGTGATTATAAGTTATTTATAGGGGTGCACCGAATGGGAAATTCTTGGCCGAAACCGATACAGAAAATAGGAAACAGTTGGCCGAAAACCGAATGCCGAAAGGCCGAAAATGATTAATAGAAATATATATATATATATATATATATATATATATATATATAATGTATACTATTTTTTACCAATGTT